ACGATGACTTCATATCATAAAAAGATATACACCGTACATATATACACATATTTTTACATGTCTACACATATTTTTATGTGTTTACACATATATTTCGCATATAAAAATGTCTTATACTTTGAGATATCTATAGAGAAACAAAATATAAAAATAAAAAATTAGGAAAGACCATATATAACGGATCGGATACACGGATAAACGGTTATTTAAACGGATGTCAATGCGGAGCGGATTATAAACGGATCGGATGTATGATTACCAAATCCGTATCCGTTTAGCAATCGGATATCCTTAATCGGATACGGATAATAACCGTTTTTAACGGATGCAGATATTTTCTATATAAACGGATACGGATGCGGACGGTAATCGAATTTTCGGTTATCCGTTTACAGCCTTACATTTGCTTATCGTGGTGACATACAATTCCGTATTTATTTTCTAATTTTCTAATTTGAACACTTACCTTTTTTTAAAAAAAATCATGTTTTTAAAGTATAGTATTAATATTAATTTTGTAGTTTTTTAATTTATTTTTGTATTTAAATCGTACTAATTACTTACCAAACCACATTGTTTTCTAATTTATTTTAGAACACTTATCATTTTTAGATGTACTCTCTCTGTCCCTAAATAAATTACAATTTTTTCTCTCCTCTCGATAACTTTTGTTTGTTTACGCGATTTCATTAAGTATTTGATAAAATAAAATATTCTTATCACTTCTTGTTTTGTAGAACTTTTGACGTAGTTGTTTAATATATAATTTTTATATCTTATTGATATATCAATTTGTAAATAAAATGATTTCAAAAAGTAAGAAATTTTACTTCGTAACCCGGAATTTGTAATGAAATTGGGGACTGAGGGAGTGTTTTATTTTCTCTTTTATTTTAGAACACTGACTTAATTTATTTTAGAAAACTTACCATTTATTTTATTTTTGTTTTTAAATGGTGCTAATTGCTTACCCTACCATATCTATTTATTTTCTAATTAGAACATTTGTCATTTTTAAAACGTTTCCATTCTTTTAAATTATAGTATTAATATTAATTTGTAGTTTTTATTTTATTCTTTTATTTAAATGTTATCATCTATTTACCGTACCATTTTTATTTTTAATCTATTTTAGAAACTTACCATTTTTACGCGTTTGTGCTTGTAAATTATAATATTTTTTAATGATAAATAATTAATTTGTAGTTTGTTTGAAATAAATCATTTTAATCCTGCCCATACTATATTAATTTGTAATTTTAAATTTTATTTTAATATTTAAATGCCAGTGTATTTTATTTCCATACTTCAATTCCCCAATGGTTCACTACTATTTAATTTAATTTAATTTAAATGCTTAAATGGTGTAACATTTAAATAAAAATAAAAATAAAAACATACTTAAAATGGAAGGAAAACATTAAGGTAAAATAATTAAACTACCATTTATGTTGTCAACACTTTCCATATATGAGTGTCATGCATGGGCGGGAAAAAATTCATGTCTTTTTAAATAATGTATAGATGTATAGATGATATGATATTTTTAATTAAATTATAACTAACTGATAAACAAAATGTGTCACCAAGACATATATTATGTTTACACGAACATTCTTTATAATTTCAAAATTTTTAAGTAAATTTAATTATAAAAAAGAGATCATCGCTTTCATTAAAATTCATTTTTTCTAATTTTATATTTTTTCACTTTTTAAAATAAAACTTTCACTCAATAAATGAGATTTCTTGCCTTAAAAATAAATAACTTTCATAACCTCTA